GACTTTGCACTCCTTGCATGGCCACAAAAATGCTTCTTAGTGCTCTACCAAATATTTGAGACTTACAATAAAAGATGAAAATATTTTTGATACATATATGTATGTGCACATGCACCGTGAAAAGAAAGTAGACCACAAATATCTCTATAAATATCTCTGATGTATGCATTCTTTACAGTTGTAGAAGATTGCTCAGGCAAAATTCCACAATGTTCATAGAAAGAACATGGTACATAAAGAGAAAGAGAAGTCTAATATTTTAGTTGTATTCATTTTATATGAAGGTCTCACAACACAGGTTATCATAACTCTGTAGATTCTCAGATGTTCCTGAAGACTGTAGTATTGAGGCTCATAGCAATGCTGAATGGACAAAATGCTGTTGAAATGCAGCATATAATGCTGGAATACTTATTGAAGAGGCAACTTCTAGCCTAACTGGCAAAATACCTTATTCTGATGAAAATATAAACACTTACAACACTTTATCAAGATGTAGTACTGTTCAGGAGGGTCAACAGTATCTTAAAGGGGATTTGTTTCATATTGAAAGGTACCCTTGAAGTCTTAAAATGCATTGGTTCTTATTTTGAGTTATATGCCCTAATAAAGCTGTCAGCATTTTGACTTCCCTTTTTAGCAAATCTTTAAGAATCCCTCTGAACTGGTTTGAATTCATTTTGGGTTGAGATTCCCTCTCAATCCCAGCAGGGGTAGTAGGCTATGATTCACAACATACGCCTTAGTTGGAGTCTCCTATTCCTATTTGCACTTGTTAGTTTACCTGAATAGTTTTCTTTCTTGTAGAATGCCATAAAAAGTAACTTGATTTTCTGAATTCTTGACAGGATTCCATGGTTAGTATTAGATTTCCACTCTAAAACACAAATGTAGTTGTAAAATTGACTATAGAAGTTGGTTATTGTGAAGAGAAATGTCTCAGGCATAAAGAGAGCATGAGGAAGTACACCCCTGAAGCTCACAGTATTTGATCTGAACTGTACTGTGGGTAAGAGGGAGTATGCTTTTTCCCTCATCTTCAGTGCTTGGGACCCACTGGCTATTCATCTTGAAATCAATGCCAAAAATCCCAATGACTTCAACAAAAACCAGGCTGGCCCATATTTTATAAAAGAAGCTAACGTGCATAGCAGAAACTTGGCCAAAGTCTCTGTGCTTTAGTAAGGTAAAATTTCCACTAATGAAATGGGTCCTTCTTCCTGAAAGGCGATAAATCCAAACAACATTGCAAATCTCTGCACGCTGAAAGTCTGAAATGTCTTTTTGTCTTCCCTTTCATTTCTGGCTATTTTCAGTGGATAAGACTGTCTCTGAAACTCAGTGATTTATTTCATTTTAGACCACAGCATTTCTCTTTCCGTTAGACTTGTGACTATACAATATGATAGCATTTCAGTAGCCTTTCCTCTTCCCGTGGTTTCTTTTTTTTAAGAGGAAAAAAAAGAAGAGACTATTCATCCTTGTATTTCAGAAATAATTACAGCTGCATTATTGAAACTGTAATTTTACTAGCCTTGTGCAACCAGAATGTTAACACTGCTCTAAAAATGTGCAGAGATATACATCTGTGTTTGAGTTTTACTGTTTGGAAAACTTTGGAATAAATATGAGGGTTTTCCCCACCTTCAGGAGCATGATGTGAGTGCTGTTACAGTACTGGTTTTGTTTCCATACAAGACCTGTACTGTAAGCCTTTGGTGGCTGAAAGGTAAATTACATTCATGCAAAACAAAACTGATGAACTACTGAAAGCTGTAGCTGCTGAAATAAATTCCTGTGTGCTAAATTTATGGGAACTATGCACTATGTACACCACAGTACATTCACTTGCAGATTCAACTTTCAAGCGACATTCATTACCAAAATAAGTAGCAATATTGTGAGAACAAGGTACACCAGTGATGAGTAGAAAGGCATAATTTTGTTGTTGGAAATACTGATGCTCATCAGCATATGTTAAACCTTGTGTGGATCAAGGAGTGTTGCTTGTGTATTTATTTTCATTTACTTTTAATTTCAGACATAGAGATAGTAACAGGGCCTAAAGGCTCAGTTTAAGAGGTACACTACTGTACTAACAGACTTGGTCTTGAAGTTTAGGGCCTCCAGCACCAGGGTTTCCTCCTACAGCCTGGCTTTGCTTTGTCCTTGTTGAAGGTACTTGTTTCCTCAACTGCAGCATCTCCACTTTGTATTCTGCTTATCTCCTGTTTGTGTTTCTGCTTATTACAATGACCAGCTTACTGAGAGAGGCTGAAAAGAGGGAGGCTAAAGAATGGGCAATGTCTTCCTTTTTTTGCACAACTTTCTGCAGTGTAGAAAAATGTGATGTTTGGATAGCAGAACAGGAAGATGGTAATTTTATGTCTTCTTAAGTTTTGTGCTGAATTAGGTAACTGTCTAGCATAACAGTGTTCAGTATGATGCTGAAGTGTTTGTTGTACTTCACATAGCAAATAATGGGAAAGACAACAAGTGTTGATCTTCCAGATCACATCCATTTAATACAGTTGTCTCACATGCCATTTCTTATTTCATGTTCTAAAAGCAGTGAGTCCTTAAGAGCTTACACACACACTAATGGTTGAGATGTAATTGTTAAAGAGCCAGATACTTCAGATATGACATTCTGCACAATTGATTGAAAAAATACAGACTACAGTACAGCCAAAATAAGCTTAAATTTGAATCTAACCCATTACACAGGAGGAATTTCTCCATACCAATGGACACCCACTAAGTGAACACAATCATTCTTAGTAACACTGTCAGCCCACAAAAACAAAAAGGGGTTTTATTTTGATTATTTTTAAAGTTTAATGACAAATCCTTTCCCTTCTTCACATTAAAAAATAAAGGCTGTTCTGGAGTCCCATTAAGGGACTGCTTTAGAGCCTAGTTCTCTGAGGCACTTACATTGTTTAAATTTTAATTTCCAGTCTGAAATTTTTATTTAAAACAGTACTTACAAAAAACAAAAAAATTTTCTCATAGTCTTTGGCTTCTACTCTTGCAAAATCTTCTAAGCTTTTACCTGTCCCAGTGAATTCTCTGCTAACTCCCAAAGGCATGTTTTCCCTTCTTTTGGCCTCCCCTAGTCAGTGCTAGAGTACTGTGGGAAAGCATTCTACTTAATGCCTTCTCATGATATTTTGGCTAGGAATAGAATATATGAAAAGACAGACTACATTCACCTTTGGTGTAACACCATGGAAGGCAATTCAAATGGCAGTCAATGAGGTAACATCACAGATAAATTCGTTTCATGCAACTCACTCTTTTGGGAAATTTCTGACATGGATACAAGGTTGGGAGAAGAGACTATAACCAGTATTTTATTCTTTGAGTCTTCTCCTCTCTTCTGGATGCAAAGTGTGATTTTCTTCATAATTAGAAATCATTTGGAAAGTAATTTTTTGGTCTGTGATTTATTTATTGCAAATATCTAGCCTGTACAAAAAGATATTTAAGCTGTTTTGAGTATAAAAGTGGGTCAGTCATTACAATTCTGTTTCCTAACTAGGTACAAAAAATCTCAGAGTTAAGTTTTTAATGTGAATGAGATGCTACTAAATTTGAAGTTCTGTGAATGCACTATGGCATGTAAGCGTAAAAGTGCCTTGAACGCTTCTATTACTTCTAGTGTTAGTTGGATCAAACTCCAAATTCAATGAGTAGGTGAACATTCCTGTTCCTTGACTAGCCTGCTAGAATATTCATGAAAATCCCACCAAGTGAATATGAACAAAACCAAAATAAAATTAGATACAGTGTGTACACTGGTGAGAAAAAAATCCATCCTTTTAGAATTTACATTCTGAGTGGCTAGGGCAGCAAAAATATGTTTATCATCTTCATCTTCATTGTGCAAAGCTTCTTGAAATCAGAGTTAGATTTATGCTACACAAACCAACATTTAAACACAAATTTAATTTTAATTTTACTGCTCAAGATGAGTTAGCTGAATGAGATGAGAGACCATATGACCTATCAAAGAACTGGATGCATCTCTTGATTCCTGTTCAGATACCTTAATGAAATCTAGCTCAGATTTCTAGCACTCTTCACCTACAGATCTCAAGCCACTAGGGCAGTGGTGACTGATTCCTGTAGTCAAGTAGAGAGCTGTATTACATATGCAGCATTGTCCAGAGAATTCTGTGCTAGATTTCAGCATCTGATTATTACCCTATCTCTCATTTTGCAATAGAAACACTGGAAACAGATGCACCACATACATTTCCTTGTCTTGCGCACCTCTTATTCCTAGTGCCCATTGGGGTGCTGTGACTGAGAAAAATATGTCAAATAGTTTTAAAATATTTCAGATTGAACATGAATCTGCATTATTTCCCTCTGTTCTTACAAAGGAGACACTCTAGGCTCAGGGCTTTTAAAACTACTTCACTTAAGAAACAAATACTGTAACTTCTTCGCAAAATCTTGCTAATTCCTTTTGTTGGTTCAATGTCCTCCAGAGTTTTGATATTTTTATATGATTTTCCCTTCTTGCAGGGAATTTTTAGAGAACCTGCAATAAGCAGATAAGTTCCTGTCCAACAGATATTTTTTCTGGATGGCTAACACTTTATAAAAACAAAACAAAACACAAAAAAATGTGCCTGGATTAGAGGCCAGGTTTGGTTTGAAGTTTGCATATCTTTTATTCTATTATGTGACATTGCTGAATATGGATAGGATAAGAATAGTGCATTGGTATTGCTCTTCTAACATTAGTGCATTGGTATTGCTCTTCAAATTTAATGGACTCTGTGGAGTACATTAGTTTTGGTTCTCATCAGAAACACCTTATTGTATAATGCTTAAAGTCTGGATTATTTTTCACAGGCACTGCGCTGTTCAGAAACTGGGCTGTAAGGAATGCTGTAGTCATACATATTAACATCAACAAGAGTGAAAATTACCCAATTAATATAGACATTCTCAGAGAAACCTATTTTTCTTTTTTTCATTTTTAGGTCTAACTGTTGGATGGCTCAGCACAAACATGCAACTATCAATGAATACTTAGCACTTGTAACTGCAGGGAAATAACTCCTTGTATTTGTTTAAGGATCCCTGAGTGGACCATCCACAGGTATGTCCTTGAGTTTTGTATGTGGAAGGTGAGTAGAGTCAGTGAAAGATTGAGCTGGAATTGGTTGAGAGGAGGACGAGCACATGGGCAACATATTGCTTTCATCCTGTGCCTCGCCACATTATGACACGGAGTATCTATCATTTCGTAATATTTCATCACTTCCTATCTATAATGGAATACTTCCAAATTAATGGAATTATTTTAAAATTAGCTATGTGCTCTTTCTGCTTTAAATCAAAATATGCCTATGGTATAATACCAAAACCACAAAAGCTGTGGGAAAGACTGAAGATGCTCTTAAGAAAGGATTGACACAAAACTTAATTTAAAAAAAAGTTTGGAAGTAAATTACATGCCTTGCTAGGATTCTTCACACTCTTCTCCCATCCCAGTATAAACAACAGCATTATCAATAACGTAGCAATGACCTCAGTAGTCAGAATCTCTCATCTGCCTCCTGCTGAAACAAGTGTTTGGCTTGGGGTTTAAATGGAATACAAGAAAAAGACCAAATTTGTCCTCCTACTTTCTGCTTTCATAAAAGAAGTTTCTAGAAGAAAGGGCAAGTAGAGGAGGCTGTTGAGAGTTCAGGGCCTCATGCTCTTCTGAACAATTTGAGCAGCCTAGATTTCCTTAATGCCTTTCCCATATGTGATATTTGTCCTCTCTCAGTATTTGTTCTCTCAAGGATGGATATAACATGAAAGTTCTGTGGATTTTTTTCTCTAATAAGCCTCTCAAAAATAATCACGATAGCTTTAGCTGTCTTTAGAAAACAGTATGTTCATCTGATGAGGTACAGTTTAACTATTCATTGACTTCTGACAAACTATAGCATAAGTCAATATGTCATCCATACTGAAGTGAAATACATCGATAATTAAGGAACTGTGCTAATACGCAGCCACAAATACAGAAAAGCTATGGGAAATGAATTGAAATGCAGAGATAATTTATAATGTTATTACCTCTTGTTGCTGTCTTAGGACTATACTGTTGTCTATTTTCAGCACAGAAATTTTCCAGAAAAATAGTTTGTGACACTCTACTCTCCATTGACCTGTATCCTCTACTTCTGTTCACTCTAATTGGCACTTACAGGTTTGGGCCCTTAAAACTGGCACAAGAATGAATTAATGGGATATATTTTAAGCTTCTGGTCTTATCACAGTTTAATTACAAGAAGAAATTAATTTTGAATATTTTTCTATCCTTAAAAAACCCCTTACTTTAAGAACCAAAAAGGGGTGATAATTCCATTCTCATTACATCCCCAAGATTGCCACGAGAAATAAAATAATTAATATCTGTGCTTATCCTTTATCGCTAGTCTTTGTCCTAAGAATGGATTAATGAGAATATTCAATGAGAATCAGAACATCCAGGCATTCACTTCTGTGAAAACTCATTCTTATGTCAAAGACTGTAATGAGGACTGAAAGAAGCATACAATTAATTCATAGCAACTGTAAGGTTGTAGTGAGAAAATAGTACATCATTCCAGACTGATGACCAAGATCAGACTAAGAGAAGATGAAGAATGAATATGAGAAGATTGAAGTAAGAGCATTTTAAATCTCCATTATAAAGCCTTTGTTTGACAGTGTATCATTTAAAAATACATATTAGTTTTTACTGACCACAGTTTTCATTCCATTATTTGTCTTTTTTTACCTCTCCTTCCCAGATGTTTCTTCAGAACTAAGCAATTACCTATCAAACTGATTTTCTCCACCTCTCCCAGGTAAGAGGTTGGCAAGAAACAAAAGAAGATGAAACTACCTTTTGTGTTCCACAACAAAGGCTAAGAAATAAGAACACTGTGGAACAAAATGACCTTTAGAGAAATTTCCTTGGTATCTATGGGTTTGAAACAAATATAATCTGGTTTTGGCCCAGTATGCATTTCTTAAGTATTCTTTGCTGCAGTGATTAAACCATACAATACTGATAAGGCTGCTGATTTTCTGAACTGTTCACAGTACAAAATAAAAGACAGCAGCTCATGTAGATATGGAGTGCTTGGGTGGGCAAAACCAAGAGGAGGAAAAGACACTAACACAGGAAGACAAGAAGAAGGCACAGCTGATTAGTTCAATGTTTTTGTTAGACCTTGTGTCGTGTGTGTTTTGTGGGGATTTCTGCTAAGTGTCCTCACAGTTGTGTAAGTGTTGCTGGCTTTGAATGACAGTTACTGATATAAAATAATACATAGTAGCAAGAAATTAAATGAGCACATCTTCTTGAAAAGTGTTTAAAATGGGTGCTTTGCTTTTGATTAATAATTAACATTGCTTAGTTTCTGTAGGCTTAAAAGAATTATTACAGCAACATACCTGCTCCATTATACTTCAGGTTGTGTCAGGTTTTCCATTATTAAGCCCTGTATTTTTAGTTTGTTTGGTAATGTGGCTATAAAAATTGATTCCAGCCGTGAACTTGCCAGGGAAAGATCTCAGCTTAGCAGAGACTTAAAAAAATTATTTTAATTTTTAAATAGTTCAGCTATTTGATGGTTAGCAGGGGGAATGGAAGCCTGGGATAACTCTTCACGGAGAGAGCACTAGTGATCAGAGCATGGCCTTCTCACAGAATGCTTTATGCTGTTTATTTCCTGTCACATTCTAGCAGAATGCTGCCAGAAGATAAGCAGAGACAGTTGTAGTGAGAAGCCTGACGAAGCAGGAGAGACTTCATACCCTTAATGAATACCTGGTTCAATATTAGAATAAAGCAAATCTTACTATAGTTCTGCTTTATGGCTGCTGATATGGGGGTCAGAGATGAACTTAAATTGAGGTAGACTGTATGAGAGAGTAAAAAAATATTGGGGGAAAAAAAAAAAATGTTCTTAGTGCTGTAGTGACAAAATATAGACCACCACTAAGGAATGTGGCATCCAGTGAGAGGATAAGAGGCAGTGAGCAAAAACTGAAATACAGGAAATTCTAATTAAATATAAGAAAAAAATGCTCTGACTGGGAGAGTGGTCAGACACTGGCACAGGTTGCCTAGGAAGGTTACAGAGTCTGTGGACTAGACATGGTCCTGGGCAACCTGCTGTAGCTGACCCTGCTTTGAGCAGGGGAGTTGGACTAAAGAATCTGCAGAGGTGCCTTTCAACCTCAGCTATTCTATGCTTCTATGAATAATACCATTACTATTACTAAATGGATCTGGAATAAGATTAAGACTTTGGTGCTTTCTTTCTCAACTTTACATTGCTTTTTGCCTGGTGGAACAGCCTCAAGTGGGGCTAAAGGTGTATGTATCTCAATAGGTGGTTATGCCTTAAATCTGGTTGTGAGGACAGCCCTCCTGTTGACTGTGTTAACTATGCAAGTAAGATAGAGTGACTTTTCAGATTTGTATGTCAAGCTGTCTTTTAAAAGCTGGAGAAGAGTTAGGCTTTTTTTAAAATTGGCTGAAACCTTGCTTCCTTTTATTTTTTTTTCTCTTCACAGTGATTCCTAGTGGAATCTGTTCTTGAAGGGAGAAGGAGGGAGGAAGAGGTGGCAAGCATTTCACAAAGGTATTGGCAAGGTGGTTTGGAGATTTTCTGCACTTTTCTTCCTGTAACAAAACCCAAAGGGTTGCACAATATCAGAAGTGTAACAAGCAAGGGGGAGAGGACTGAGCTCAGTTTTGAATCCTGCTAGAACTGTTCATGTATTGAACATTGCCCTGTCAGTGGCTAAAATGTAGAAATAACCCTAAGAACAGAGACTAACTATGAGCTGAGTAAGATTCCAGAGAGTTGTGGTTTAATCCAGACTTTACTGAAGTAGTGTTCTTCATACCATGAGCAGAAGTGCCTATTCTTTCATATCCCTCCAGTTGACATCACACACAGCTACCATTCAACATGATACCAGCTTGCTGAAGGATATTTTCTTTTCCCAGAATTAAATAACAAGGCCTATTTAGCTACTGATGTTAGAGAGGCTTAAATCTTCACATTTGACCAGCAGCTTGATATTCTGAACCAGCAACTTTACAAAGATCTTTACCTTGAAAGAAGCCTAGCATGGAAACCTTATGAAGAACTCTATCTGACATAAGAGCTGCAAGAAATACTATTATGTTAGAGAAATTTAAGAAACCAAACTCTTTGCTTAGGTTATCAGCAAACAAAATGTGTAGTGATGAATTAATTACCTCATATTGGTTTATTCTTTGACAGCAGAATGCTTGGGGATGAGGTGGGAAGCAGAGGGACCGTGTAAGGGAGACCAGCCTGCCTTCAAAGGCTTAAGACTTTTTTACTACCTCTGCAAATTAAGAGAGGGGGGTGAACCATTCTGTCATTGCAGTAAGTGAAGGTGATAACTCAGGCTATCAAAAATCCCACCTCTGTAACACTATTTCCAGCCAGAGAAGAGAGGATGGAAACAGTCCCTGAGCAACCCTTAGTCACAGGGCCTTGCTCACTTGCCCAGCTGCAAGCATTCAGAATCTTCTGCAGCCAGCTAGTAGGGATAAACAATTATTCAGCTATTTTATACAGTGGGAGCTCATAAAGGCTCCTGGGAGGTAAGGCTCCTGTCAGAACATCCTTGGGGCATTGAGAGTTGGTTATGTCCCCAGATGGTCCCCAAAGATATGTAGTGTTATGGTGTCTGAAACCCTCTTTTGCTTCCCCTCTGTGCCTGTTTCTAGTGCAAAAACGTGAGCCTTTGAAAGTTGGACCCCCGTCCTTGTAGGAATAAACCCAAACCAACGCCCAAGATAACCTTTGAAAACTGTGAAAGTTCCTTAGACCACAATAAAGCCAGTGCATACATTTTGGCACAACCTCCTTCTGATTTCTTCACTTACATTTAACAAATAAAACTACAGGTAAAACCTAACTCCTTGCTCCTCCCCCCTAGCTTCCCCTTTTTAAATTCTGGAGTAACACACATGGAAACAGTGTTGCAAGTAAGGTTTTTTGTGTGTTGTATGTATTAAACTGATACATTTAATTAATGAAGACACCTTGGGGCTCCAACCTCATCTTGAAATCACAGTATAAAAAATTAAATACATGTATAATGTGTGAATGGTTGCCACTGAAGCCTGTAAAAGGAGTTAGTGAAATATCAGCTGCACTCCTACTTAAGAAATAATTTTAAAAATTACTGTGATGATACAGTATGACTAGCAAAAAAGGAGCCATGTGGGTTTTTTTAACCATGAAGTACACAGTACAAGCTGCTTTTCATTGTTTTCCTTCCATGCATGCATGGGTTGTTGAAGTGAGAACTGTTTTATTGTGTGCTTGGGCAGTGTTTAGCACAAAGAACACAAAAAAGTATTTGGGGCATCAGTGCTCTACTTTGAGACATGTATAATTGTAAATAGTAATTGATGTGCGTAAAGCAAGATACATTAAATAAGGTAATCACAGAGAGAGTCACAAATTTAACTGAGGACTGTGTAACACAGTTCTTTCAGGTACTTTGCCAGCTTGGGGAATTCGTTTAGGATCCAAGCTCTCTGTGCAGTACAAGGACTGAGTTAAGTACCAAAGAGTAAAATTCATAAAGAGTGACACTGGCTTGTGGGAATAAGGAGAGGAAGGTGAGCAAAATTGGCCAGACAAGTTAATAAGGAAGGATCATGCCTTTAGTCCTGCCCCCTCAACAGAAGTTCCTAACTCTGCTACATTTCAACTGAAGTTAGGTACTTTGTCTGTAATATAATTTTCTCAGAAAGGCAATGAAGGAGCCCTGTTTACTCCCCTGCTGAGAAAAGGCCTATTCAGTTTTGCAGAAGTAAGTATTTATTAAAGTGAAGGAGAACTGGAGCCTGGTTATGTTCCCTACATCCTCGACTAAATGCTCTAAAACAATGGGCAACAGAATCCACATTTCCTCCGGCCCATTTGTTGTATAGTGCATAGCAAAAATTCCATCTCTGAGCTGTAGTTACCTTGTCATATACAGATCAAAGCTTGGATGGCAAAATTTGGAATCTCACCTACAGTGAGGAGGTTGATGATACACTACCTTTCAGCTATTTTGCTACTTTCAAGCAGGGAAAACCTTGTGCACCTGAGTGCAGTTTTGGATTTCTTACACTGTATATTTGTCAAGGAAAAGATCTCTGCTGTACTTTCCTCCCTCCACAGTATTATTACAGATTCCTCCACTGTATGTATATAGTTGATTTTCGATGGACTCTGGAAAGAAGGAAGTCAGTCGTATTAACAGAAATGAATTTTCTAACTTTATCAGTACTGAAAATCTCATCTTTGTCTGGAAACAGAAACATTTATTGAGCAGTACTTTACAGCTAAGGTGCAGAAGCCTACCTGCGTGGCTTTTAGTACCAAACTGAAACACTTTTGACTGTTGTGTACTAAGAGAGACTCTAAAAGTCTGTTTCCAAAGAAGGAAATATACCTTTCATGCAATCTGATGAAACCAAAGAGCTGACTTTGGGACTGAGTTATCCATATAGATACTATTCAAAACTGATCTAGTGCTTTCACAGGAAGTGAACAGAAAGAAATGCTTGACTGGAAAAAAATCTTAGACATCACTGCCCTATAAAGAAATACCAGTGTTTCTGTGAGAGATACATTTTTTTTTTTGATATCACAATAAATTATATGAAGGGGAGCTGTGAGCTCTGTTAGTTTCACATTGTTCTTTAAAAATACTTCATATTACCATCATATTTGCAAATGACATCCCAGGGCATTTCTGACAGAAATGTGGATATCTGAAAAGTGGTCTAGGGAAACGTAGTACTGAATGCAAGTATCTCTTCTAGTGTACTTCTGGGAACAGACTTACTGAATAAAAAGAGTAACTCATTTTGTGGAAGGAAAAACATTGTCTACCATCAATGTTATTAAGAATAAAATTCAGTTTTTATTTCAGTTTATGGTATTTTCTTCAGTTAGTGGCATTCTGGTGAGTGTGGTGAAAATCTTGCCTCCTAAAAGATCATGTGGGTGAATAGTAACTGAAACTAATTTTTTTCAAAGTTTTTGCAAGTCTGAATGATCATACGACTGCATATTTTGGCACAATCTCTATCATGAACACACATGAAAATACTAGTTAATACTATCAAAATGTGACATTTTGTTGTTTCTGTTTTTATTTATAGATCCTGCCTGTTCTGCAGCTGTTCCTTTTATACAAGCTGACTAAAAGCTGAGGTATAAACACAGAGAAGGACAGAATAGTAGTACTATCTTAACCTGCTCATTTGATTTTCCAAGTTCCGTACATCAACCCTTGCAGTGAGCTTACATCTTTCTAGTACAAATCCAATCCAAGAGCAGTTCAAGGTAACACTAGTCCTATTAATAGACCTGTCAGGCTGATGTTAGTCACAGAAGTCATAAACCATCCGGCTTCTGTTATTCCTGACTATGGTCTTATTGTATGTTAAAACAAATCCAAAACCTTAAATCTAAATATTTCTGAATCTACAAATACAATATTGATGGAAGTGGGGGGAAGGTGGGAGAGGCGATTGGTTTGGCACAGAGGTGCTTGGAGAATGAAAATTTCCAGTTAGAAATTATTACATGACAACTTCTCTTGTAGTGAAAGTTTTTGCATAGGATTTTAAAGGGCAGAATTTCCAACCTATTTTATCTTGTGATATAAACCAGCATAGCTCGAGATGGGAATTAAGTGTTTTTCCCGTAACCCTGTCAGCTGAACTGTACAAGTGTTGATTCTTATTAGATGAAAATGAAATTACAAGAATTGTTACCCAAAAAAGCAGCATTATTTCTTATCACCCTGATAGTGCATCAGCACCAATTCCTAAACTTTCTGAGCCATGCAACCTGGGTAAAAACTAACCTGTTCTTCACATGCACATGCTCAACACCCACACTACAGATAGAAATTATTGGAGCCTTTCAAGTAAACTATTAGAAACTTTTGCCTGGGGGAAGTGGGGGAGGGACGAGACAGAGGGGACAGCTTGAATATTTCTTCAGCAGATTCTGCAGTGTGCAAGTTTGTGGTCTTCAAGACAACACCCGGTTCAGTATTCTAAAAAGCTAGATGGGGAATAATTTCCTTTTTCTTCATTAAATTAGTGTCCTCTTGGACTGTGGTTTATGAAATATGGAGGAAAATTTCTGTACCTTCACAGCTATCACATAAGCTTGGGCAGGGTTCTCCAAATGAACTGTTTCTAAAATTATACAATTCTAGTTCTTACTTTGCAAATCCTCTCCAAAACCACCATCAATGTCAATCAAAGAGCACTCAAATCAAACTGAAAGTGATCTTCATTTGCGGTTCTGAGATGTCCGTTGTAATTCCAAGTACTGGACTGTTTGGTATTTTTTTTTCAGACGGGAGCGTCAAGCTGAGTGGTGTTTGGAAAGACAATCTAGGAAGCATTTTACTGTGCTGTTTCAGCCTGTGTTAGGCAAAATGGATTTCTTACACTAGGCAAAACGTCTTGCTAAGGAGATAGACGCTGAAACTTTAACATTCCTTTTCTCCCTTTCTGGAATGACAACATCAAGCTGTGAACTCTGAAGCTGTTGGGAAAAAAATAATGGACAAAGAGGCAGGGGTGGATTTTTTTTTCATTCTGAAAAGAAAATAAAATAAGGCATGGCTAATAACATTTGCAGTGGTACCTAGAGATCAAACTGAGAGTCCATCATTTTGTACAACATGCATATTGTAAGACACAGTTCCTGCTCAAATACACTGGAATAAGCAGAGAATAACACAAAAGGGGATAATGAAACTGTGTTATTAGCCCAATTTTAGGACTAGAAATCTCTCAGCATATTAAGTGTGTATCAGACCTGGGAACTGAACCCAACCCAGTGCCTTAATCACAAGGTCAACTGTTCTCATTTTAAGAGAAGGAATTGTATGGGTAACCTTCTAGAGCTTCAAATAAGTATCAGATTATAATTCTTCAAATTTCTTATTCAAACCAAACCCCAAATCCAAACCTCTTGAGGGTCTTTCAACACTGTTAATGCACCCCTTAGTACATATTCCAAGCAGCATGTGTATTCAACAGACAATAGTGATTGTTGTGGTGGGTGGCAAAATATGCAGTGGGTTGCAGTAGCAGGGATTATATCCTGTATCTTTTTAATATAATACATGGCTCATATTTCAAAAACTGTTTATAATTAGGTTCTAAAATATGACTTTGATTAATATTTGCATCCAATCTAATGCCCTCATTTGTTCTACAGTTTCATTTAAAACAACTGTATGCAAAACATTCTGATTTTATATTGGCTGAAGCTTAGCAACTGTTATTATTGATTATAACCTTGATGGAAACTTCTCAGCAGTTTACAATATTTAGTTAGGGTATTTAAAGAGACTTAAAGTATTATTATAAAGAAGGAAAGCTAGGTTTGGCATAGAGCCTTTCTTTTGTCTCTGAAAGTTTCTGCAGTAAATTTAGAACAGAAGAGCATTTCTCTGGAGTAAAAATATATGTATTGCTGGCTACAAGTGTATGTTTGCTGCTTCACAATTTTAGAATTAGATGATGGACTTATTTAGTAGACATTGGATAGTAAAAAGTAAAACCCCTAATTTAAAACATTCCACATTACCACATTCCAAGAAAAACATGGACCGGTGAACAAATCCAGCAGTATTGTAATAAGAAAACAACTAGGTGCATTTTTTCCAAAACCTAAACCCAGAAATCTAAATGTATGAGTTACTGGCTAAAAATGCCATTTTCATGTCTCAGTTTCTTCATGAACTGAAAAAAACAACCTAGACTTGAGAAAATTAGAAATAAGATCTAAGATTCCAGGTCAAGGTTTGGAGCACAGATATAATTTTATAATAATTTTTTTTGAATCCTAATGTTGGATTTTAAATTTTAAAATATGCTTTTTTCTTTGTAAGAGATTTATCATTACAGCTTTTTTTTTAGAATGTAAAGGTAAGATACTTTTGATAATTTTTAAAAATAATTACAATAATTACTGTGACCTGAAGGTTTTCAATCATCATATTCTGTGCACTGGCTTTGTTATCTAATCTAGGAAAGGGGTCACTTTTAACATAAGCCACAGAAGGCAACTGCTGACATGTAATACGAGCCCCGTTTCAGCAGGCTACATAAACCCCTGATTGCTTGGCATCCATTTCTGATTACTATCAATTTCTGAGCATTGGTCGTAAGTCATGACTATTCAGTCAGATGCTCATACCTACACTCAACTTCAAGCACATGCTAACATTCCATCCCAGCTTTCTACAACATCAGTTTAATTTGAATTTTACTGAATCATAATTGTAATAAAGCCTGGAAGTGAGAATGGAAGACTGTGGGAGGATCAAAGGGAGAGAAAAATTGTGCCAGATTCTTGAATCCCTGTTCTTACAAAGAGTGCTTAAAGCTGCTTTGCTTTGACTTTCTAAAGAGTTTTTCAGAGCAAGAGAATCTGTACCTGTGCAAGAAAGTACAGATGAGAGGAAGACAGGATGGACATAACGTCAGAGATATTTGTTCAAATTATCAGAGCAGGCCCTGAAAATGGAAAAAGAACATTGCGAGGAAGGTAGGGCATGTACAGGCAAGATGTGGGAAATCTGAGATGCGATTTCCTCCTCCTGAACATCAATGTGCTGCCTGGTGTAGTTTACGCTCTGTTGAACATTTAAGAAAAGATTTGTGATCAGAGAGAAGATGGATCAAAGCAGTCAACAACTGTGTGGATGACACATGGATGTTGATAGAAGAAAGGATGTAGCAGTCAGGGATGCTGCTGCATCTACAAGGCTCTACGCTACTGCTGTGCCTTTGGGAGGAGAATGTTCTCTTCTAAACTTGTGCAGCAAAATTGTGCTCAAGCAACTTATAAGGACTTTTGTCCTACAGAAGTCCATGCCTCTAAATGAACAAAACATCAGCTGCTTTCTAAAGGGAAATTTCTCTTATTCCTAATCCTTCTTGCTTTATCCACGTGAAAGAGCTAGAACAAGGGGATTAGAATGCTACTCACTTTTTGGTACATCTTTATGACGCTATTGGTATGCGCTGATCTCTAATATTTCATAGTCACTTCCCTGTGATAGCACTGTTTCAGATTTTATATTTCGTTATCTTCCAATAGCACACAATATCTCATGAGGGCAGAAGATTATTTTAAAATATAATTAATTTTGATGGAGTGAGGGCAAAGGGGACTCCTGAATACTGGACTTGCTCAGCTGTTTGAGCTCTTGCTGTTTGTGGATAGTCCGATATTAATCAGAAAGACACTGCATGTAAAATATAATAACGTTTATGATTACACCTTTTATTTCCCTTTTGAAAGCTAGGCAAAAGGCAGCCTCTTAACTACGCTCAGTGCTTTGTACAACTCCATGACAGACCAGAAAATAGCACCAAAATGTGGTGTGTCAAATGCATCTCCCTTAGGAGGTTCGGTGTGACTACTCCATTATGTGTCCTGACCTTCATTGCCTGAAGGACAAGAAGTTTTGTTCTTGAATCTATTTCTTTCGACCTCTGCCTTACCCATTTTGCTCTGATATGCATTATAAATACAAGTGCCATAAACAGTTGTTTAAATAACAACTACATTTAAATAGTGTGGATTATTTTATTTTACTTGCTGTGATGTGCAGAGAGAATATAGAGCTTTAATACATGATTAGCAGTACATTAATTCAATTATTGCTCTTCAAGGTAAGAAATATGGTTTGATGAATGATATCTTCATATTTAGAAAATATGGAATCTGATTCCAACTGAGCCATAAATTTCCTATATAATAATGGGATGAATCACGTAGCAGTTATTACTTTTCCTGGTAAAATGGTGATATGAGTTAAATTGATGTTTCTGAACTGCTTTGGAATCCACACAGCATGCTGCCAGTATTCAACTGAATAATTTTTCTTAACTAAAAAATCTTCACCTGAACATCTACAGAGGCACACTGCTTACTCTCCAGTAGTGGACTGTATTGCCATAGTGGCAGGACTGTGAGTTTCCCGTGTTGAAGCTTACTTTTGGGAACATGTAGCATTTGTTCAACGAGGTAGTGGACCATATGAAAATAGGTCATATCTACTGTTACGGATAATAGGGATACTTCTTGGAGTCTGAGTTTCTAAACTGGGTGCCTAAAGTCTTGAGGGTTTTAAACAACTCTGTGTCTAAAGAAAGTCCATATATACACTAGGGTTATTACCACTGTTCAGAACCAAAGATTGGCAGGCAAACTTACAGTTTACTGACTCTTTATTCAAAGTTTTCTCTTCTAACCTTTACCCTCT